AGTAGCCCCTCCTCGGCGCCCGCATGCAGCATTGAAGACCCAATGCAGCCAAAAATAAATAAATACATTTTAAAAAAAAGAAAGAAATAGTCCTTAACCTCAAAGGGCCAGCAGTGTAATGGACAGATAGACAAAAAGAAATTAATGATATTAATAATAATAGTAATGGAAATATGTACAGTAATAGTGGATCTGTACAAAATATTAAGAGAACACAGAGAGGGGACACATAACCTACATTCAAACCTCAGCTTAAACTCCCCCTGCTTTAAATTTCTTCTATAATCAGAAGTAATCTTGTCCTTTTGAATTTCCTTAGCACAAATGTACCACTTCTACTTTGTTTAATAGATGCATACATATATATCCATATAGCTTTCTTCTTAGAGTTCTGATTCTAGGAAAGGTACAACAGATTAAAGCCGTGGTTTTGAATCAGAGGCTGCTTTATCTTCCAGTGGACAGTTGGCAATGTCTTGAGACATTTTTAGTTGTCATAACTGGTGGGAGGGCAGGGGGAAGAGGAGGAAGGTGGTTCTACTGGCATCTAGTGAGTAGAGGCCAGGGGTACTACTGTTATCCTACACAGGATAAATATCCACAGACTGCTGTCCACAGCAAAGATCCCAAATGTCAGTAGTACAGAGGAGTATAAGCCCTGCTTTAGCCCTGGAGCCAGAATTTGAATCCCGCCCCTAGCACTTAACTACCTGTGTGACCTTGGACAAAAGTTACTTTCTCTCTCTGTAGTTATTGAATAAGCTGAAGTATAAACTGTAAGGTTGACACACAGTAAACATTATGTACATGCTTGCTGTTGATATTCTTATGTATTAGTATATGGTAGTATTATTGATCCAGAATGAGATATTTATATTTTACCACAATCCCGAGCTTAGTGACTTTCAGAAAAAATGTTGAACGACTAAATGGATAGTTAATTAGCTCTTCTATAAATGGTATCTTCTAGAACCAGTTCCTTTATCGTTTAACCCTGTGTATGAATCATCATTATCAAAAGCAGCCACTTCTACAAGAAACCATCCTGGCTTGCTATTACACTAAGGGAAAGGAATAGATTTTCTCTGTACTATCCATCAGGAACAGATAGGTACTGAGATCTTTGATACAAATAGGGCCTTGGCAAAGATCACAAAGCAAAAAATTCCCTTGGAAGCTAAATAAATATGCAGTAGAAGTGAGAGGCAGATCAAAACCTTTTTTAAAAAAAAAACTTCTAATGCCTGACTTCTTTTAATATGGGCCATCGTATTCTCCTTTTTTTCTGCTTATGTAAAAACCAAAGAAACATATGAAGGCCAAATACTTGCCTGTTTTTGAATAATCACTCCTTGTATGACCTTCTCCTTTCCATATAATGACTGTAACTAAACTATAACCCATTCATTGCTATTTATCAACCAGGTGAACTAAGGGCTCTCAGTGGTATTGCAGCGTTACTGTGTTAATTTAGTTACACCGTAGTATCACTGATCTTCTTTCTGCCTGTATCTTTTCAGGTTGCATCAACAGTAAAAACTCTTAGCTTATGAATAATGTATATGGAAGTATTTTCCATATTTACTTTATGGATTATTTTGGAATAAATGTAAAAGTAAAGCATTTTTCTTTGTATATTGTACAAACTTTTTCTCAAATATTAATAATATTTCTCTAATATTAGATACCAGATATTATTATACATTAACAAAGATCTGATGTACCTGGAGTTATTTATTTAACAAAATTTTAAATGATTTTTAAAATATTAAAAATTTTGAACCCATAAAGCACTATCCTAATAAAATAGCAACTATCATTTCTGCATGTTTTTTCTATATATAAATATTTCATATCTATATGTATCAAGCAGGGGTCTCCAGAGAAACCGGATCAATAGGATATGTGTGTTTGTGTGTGTGTGTATATAAAGAGAGTCTTATTAGCTCATGTAATTATGGAGGCAGACAAGTCCCAAGATCTCCAAGGTGAGCCAGCAAGCTGGAGACCTAGGAGAGCCAATGGTGTAGTTCTGGTCTGAGAACCAGGTGAACTGAGGGTGTAGTTCCACAATGAAGGCCAACAGGCTCAGGACCCAGGAAGAGCTGGTATTTCGGATCAAATCCAAAGGCAAGAAAAAGTTGATGTCCTAGTTTGAAGGCAGTCAGACAGAAAGTTCTTTCTTACCTGGGGGTGGGTAAACTATTTTGTTCTATTCAGGCCTTCAAATAATTGGATGAGGACCACCTATATTGGGGAGAGCAGTCTGCATCCAAAAACACTCTCACAGAAACACCCAGAATAATGTTTGACCAAATATCTACGCATCCCATGGTACAGTCAAGTTGACACATAAAATTAATCATTATACTATATACATAAATGATCAACAGATGTATAATTTTATAACCTAGTTTTAAAAATGATGTTAATAATTTTATATAGTCTTGTATAAAAATTATTAAAATAAAATAACTCAATTAGCCTCCTGACAAGTAAATGTAGTAAAGAATCTTAAAATACTACCAGTATCTCAAAGGATCACAAATCAAAATTAATATATTAAGAGAAATATATTTGAGTATGCAGTTAGTCATTTTTGCTAAAGTTATGAAAAATGTTTTTCATATATGAGACTCTTTGAAAACGTGTTCCCATGTGAGATTCTTTGAATTCTAAACAGAAATATGATACAAATAGCCTACATCATGCTGCCTTGAACTTTATGCACATTTAATTGAATTCAGTAGGCATGTATTGAATATCTATTATGTAAAAGTTCTGTGTTAACTGCTAAGAGGGATATTAAGATGTGTTAAAAAGGCTTTCTCAAGGAAGACAAACAAGGACACATCTTAACTATGTTACAGGTAGTATTAGTTAACTGTTTCATTAGAGATACAAATGAAATAATAACTATCATATAAGAGAGAATGCTTTATCCTGTTTGAGAAGATTTGTATAACATACATAGTAGATAACATCATCTCTGGACTATCAATAATGGGTGGAACTTTTATTGACAGATGAAAAAAGAAATTCTTGGTAGGAAGAACTGCTCAAGAAACGCTGGGAAAGAGAAAGATTTATTTTGCCAACAGAGAATTATATAGTAGTTCTGAAGTGTTAAGTGTGATGAAGGAGTGATAATTGAAGGAAAACTTAAAAACCTGGAAATGGAGCTAGAGGCAGGTCAGAGTGAGCCTTGCATATCATCATAAAGAATTTGGATTTTGGGGGCTTCCCTGGTGGCGCAGTGGTTGAGAGTCCGCCTGCCGATGCAGGGGGCACGGGTTCGTGCCCCGGTCCGGGAAGATCCCACATGCCGTGGAGCGGCTAGGCCCGTGAGCCATGGCTGCTGGGCCTGCGCGTCCGGAGCCTGTGCCCCGCAATGGGAGAGGCCATAACAGTGAGAGGCCCGCGTACCACAAAAAAAAAGAATTTGGATTTTTGAAAATTGGGAGCCATGAAAATATTTGAAAAGAGGAACAACTAGTCTGTAACTTAGGAATAATTTAGGAGGCAATACTAGGAATAGATTAAAATGCTGTGAGATTGTAAGGATACCCAGTTTTATTTGTATTTACCTCACCTATATCTAAAGAGGATTTGAGACAGTTTGTATAATTAAAAAACACAGGTGTGAAAATAAGGGCAAAATGAAAAGAAAAAATAAAGACAAGAAAATAAGATGGCCCTGGAGTAAGATTGGTGCAAAAAAATGCTCGTGGTAAGATTATTCAGTACTGGTGGAGATGGGCTAAAAGCCTAGCTCTGAAATCACTTAACAGGAGAACTAGAAAATGATTACTTATAAGGATTAACTGTCCTCACTTCAGGCTGATAATCTTGCTCCCTGTTTCACAGGGGAAAAATAGTAGAAGCGATCAGGAGACTTCTCCCAAGATCCCACAACTGTACTACCTACATAAATTTTCATATTCTTTGCTTCCCTACTTCAGAAGAACTGTGACAGAGGTGTCAAGCCAACTCCTTTGTGCATTAGCTTCCACTTCCTCCCGCTTACTCAGCAGTGTTCTCCCAACAGTCTCCTCTCTCTCCTGCAGTTCCAGTTTTCCCTGTTGGATCATTCCTACCAGCAAAAAAATATGTTGTCCTTTTTTCAGTCTTTAAGAAGCAAACAAACAATGAAAAAGGAATCTTTTCTGACCCAACTTTTTTCTCTATCTACTGCTACCCCATCCATTCTTAGTAAGAAAAATGCTAATCAAAACTGCAATGAGATTTTTTTTCTCTCTTCAGTTTGGTAAAAATCTAAATCTTCATAACACATTCTATGAATAAGGCTTGTGAAAAAAATCATATGTTGCTGGTAGAAATGCAAAATGATAAAACATCTGTGGGGAAAATCTGACAAAATTTATCAAAACTATAGATGATTTACTCTTTTATTCATAATCTAAGAGAGTCAGTTCAAGAGGAATACCTGCATGTACAAAATGACATCACAAGGCTGTTTGCTAAAACATTATTTATAATAGCAAAAGTTTAAGAAAATTCTAATTGCCCATTAATAACAGATCAGTTAAGTAAACAATGCTATAGCCACAAAATGGAGTTCTATGCAGCAGTAAAAAGAATGAGATCTACAAACATTGATATGGAAATGCCTGTCTTGTTAAATTAAAACTGCAAGGTGTCGAGTAATTTTTTAAATTTCTGACCTTTTGTAAAAGAAGGGGAAAGTAAGACTATTCATATTTGCTTGAGCTTTCATAAAGAAACTTTAAGTAAGAACTAATAAAAATGATTACTCATAGCAGACAGTCTAGAAAGTTGCAGGGGGAAAAAAAAGTCTGTTCTGATCATTTCCAGTCTTATTTTCTGTTTTAAGCTCTCACATACTTTAATGCAAAATATGAAATGATGATTTTCTCAAATCATGTGTTGCACTTTCTTTGGAGCAAAATCATGAATATATAGTACTTGCTAAATTAAGTTTTTACATAAAATGATTTTTTTTAAAATTCTGTTCCTAGATCCATATTTATTCTCTTGGAATGACATTGTATTGGGGGGCTGATCATGAAGTACCTCAGAGCCAGGTAAGTCAAGTTGTCACATTTGTACAACTTTACACTTTTTAAGAAGTTCTTTGTATTTATGTGTTCTACAGTGTGTTGTCAGGCACACCAGTGTTTCTACACTGGTTGTTCACATTAATAATGTCACACTCTCAGAATGAAATAATAAAATACTAAAGAAATTATTTTTCTTAGACTGTTCTTAGAATTATAGCAGTCACTACCTGTTTCAACAGTTCACTCTGTGAAATATAGTAGCCTCTTCAAAATTATAGCTAGAGAAATGGGAGTCCACTTTATTTCTTTTAATTTAATGACTGATAAAGGGGGATTGTAAATTTCTTTGATGTTTCATTCTTGAACAGAAAGTGATAACCTTTTTTGATGCAAAAACTGTAGGAATAATAGTAGCTCTAACTATGTCTCAGAGTTTTACTTCATTACTTTTTCTCTTGTCACTTCAAAATCATACTTCACTACTCCTGCAGCAGCAGACACAGATATTAAAGTAACACTTTGTGGGGCCTTAGGCTCTGATGATCATTGGGCTGCTCCTAGTCTTTATTTTCTAAAATAACTGATCTCTTGAAGACACAATAGTAAACATAGTAATAAATATAATCAAAAATTTAAAAATAACTGTATTTCATCAAAGATGTAGCATACAGAATTGTGTCATTTTAGGCATTTAGAACTCCAAACAAAAGTAACTGTGTTTTTGGTTTTTTTTTTTTTTAATCAAATTAAGAAGCAGTAAGTATTTTAGGCTTATATTCTAAAATTCAGACATCTTAAGATCAATGAAAAACGAATGATAGTCTTCAACTTGGTTTGGTTTCATTTTACATCATGAAAAATACTGTATATTTACTTTCCTCAGTTTCAATTCTATAAATATAAATGAGAAACTGAAATTATTACTGGAAATAATAGGGTCATTTTATAGAACCTAACTTACATGTAAAATGTGATCACAGCCTATAATTTAACACTTTCTCTTTTCTGGTAACTGAAAATAAAGTCAGTGTATCTATAATGTGTAAATTGGATGGGAAGTATAAACATTTACTTCTATTTCACTGTCAGATATCATAACTGTTTTGGAAATATTTAATATTAATTCAGAAGTATTTATTAAGCACCTACCTTATGTCAGACACTGTACCAGACACTAAGAATATAATGTTCCATGGCTGTGGAGTCCTATCACAGGTACAGACAACCAAAATAACCAGTTACAACACAATGTGACAAATGCTATGTTAGGGAAAATGGAGGGTGCTATGGAAAACCAAGCGTTGGAGCCTCTAACTAGACTTGGAGGGTTAGAATAGGTTTATTAAAGGACATTGCTGCTAAGCTGAGCTCTAAAAGATGAAATATAATACCCAAATGGATGAGAAGTGGAAGGGAAGGGTCACAGGTAAAGCATATGTTTAAACCAAAGTGGATGTACCTGTTCAAACTCCCATAAGCAATGCTTTTCTCCTCACCACTACTTCGTATTATCAGTCCTTTATTTTAACCATTCTACTGAGTATATATATAGTGACTTCTTTCTGTGGTTTTAATTTGCATTTCTTGGTATGATTATTGGACATTTAGATATAATATTCTATAAATTATGTCAACTAATTAAAAAAAAAAACTCACATTTTGGCTTCTGTTTCACCAGCATAATGACAACTTATATTTAAATGACCTTGAGTCATTGCAGTATTTGAAATCTCTTCTAAGTTATCATGAGTGTCAAATTACATTAAATATATATCAAATATATTCCTTTTTTGAAATGTTAGGAAATTGTTTATTCCCCCCTAGTAGTGTATATATATAAACTGCTTACCAAAATACTTGGATAACCAAAACATTCCATTTCTTAATCATACCAAAACACCTCAGAGTTTTTCTATAATACCTCCTACCTTAGGAGATGTCTGTTAACCAACTTCTGCTAATAAAATTTTTGGATTATAAAAATGTAAAATGCAGTCAAATATACATGGTACTAGGTAAGAAATTTATTTCCTCCAGGTGTGTTTGGTGTGGTTCCTGTGACTCTTGGAATGGTTTCTCTCATGTTAGTTAGATTTACTCACACTTGCCAACATTACCTTTTCTTTCTTTGTATGCAGCCTATCAAGCTTGGAGATCATCTCAACAGTATACTGCTTGGAATGTGTGAGGATGTTATTTATGCTCGGGTTTCTGTTCGGACTGTCCTGGACGCTTGCAGTGCCCACATTAGGAATAGCAATTGTGCACCCTCATTTTCCTACGTGAAGCAGTTGGTAAAACTGGTTCTGGGAAATCTTTCTGGGGTAAGCCACAGTTCCAATTGGTTCCTATAGTCATACTTTAAAATTTAGTAGCATTTCACAAAATTTTCTTTAAATGTGGATAGCATTTTCTCAGTGAAGACTAGGAACAGGAGATTGAATTTCAGGTTCTAATGTTAATTGTTTATTTGAAACAGTACTTAAAAATCTAGAAACCCATTGCAATAATTTAGTCTCCTAGATTTTATGGGAGTTAGTCTTTTTTTAGAACTTTATTCTATCAGGTATTATAGAATCACAGCATGTTAGAGCTGAGAAGTCTTCTTGACTCTTTTCTTACATCTTTTCCTATGGAGCTTTCAGTAAGTGATTCTACCTACTGTGAAAGTCGTATGGACATGCAAAATGGGTTTTAGAATTATTTAAGTGCACTTTCTGTTGCCTTATACCTCTTTCTTGCTCACTTATTAGTCTGGACCCCTTAGGTATTCTCAAACCCTCCCTACCTTCTTTGGACATTGGCACCTGGTATGTAAGAGGGATGCATGCTTGTATCCCTACTAGATTGTCCCAAAACTGGGACTCCTTTATTTTCTCTCTTGTCTTAGATATGAAGAATCCCAGGACTAACAATCTCTATATCTAATAGTCCCATTACTGCATTTCTTAAGCTATATTCTATCCCATTTGCTCCAGTTTGGGACCCCCCCCCTTGGTTTTTGATATTTGATGTAGGTCTAAACTTTATCTGCTCTGACCCTTTAGGTTATGGTGCCTGAGTCCCCCTCCTTTATGTAGGCTTTGGATTAGATTTACCGCTGTCACACAGGGTTCTTGCTGGCTTCCTCTTAATTCCTCATCCCTAAGGGTTTAGTTCTGCCATCTTAACCAGGATGTCGTATGGCTGGCAGGGGTATATCCAAATTCCACATGCTTTGCCAGTTGATAAGAAACAGGCTCATAAAGTCTTCTAGGCAGATGGTTTGTAAACTGTACCCCAAGGAGCCTTTGCGATTCTGTAGTCAGAGGAAGGGGGGTAGTAGAGGCTAAGTGAAGAGAGTTCTCGGCTGTTTATTTCCCCTCCTTAACTAGAGCTGATTTATTTGTTTATATTCCTGTATGTGATTTTTTTTTTTTTTGGAACAAAGATAAAGCTACTAAAACTTTGATCTTCTATTCAGACCAAAGTTTCCCAGATATTTTGAAATATATTTTTGTTTAAAAAATTTTCTCTATGGTCAAATAAAGTTGAGGAAAAACTATTTTAGGAAAATTAAGTATATTTTCACCGTAGAACTTCCCAGAGCCTTTAATACACTAAGTTGTATTACTAACCCTCAAGAGGGATAGGCACACAGGTGAAACATTTCCCAAACTTATATTGGCCTTTTTTCACAGATCTTCTCATAATACTGATATTCTGTAAAAACTCGCTCTGAGGAACGTTGATCTGTACTAACTCCTTCACTTTATGGGACTTATGTTTCCTATTAATCAGCCAGGGATTTAAAAGCTATGAGATTTTGAGGGGAAAGGATACAAGTAATGACTGGGTTGAAAGATAGCACTTTGAGCTAGATCCTGTAGACTAGATAGAAAGGGTAATCCAGGCAGAGGGAAGTAAACTTGGGCAAATGCTGTGAGATGGGAAAGAGCAGGATGTTTGAGGAACAGTAATAAGTCTGATATGGGGTGTGCTATGGGGTTGTTTAGTGGGAGAGAAGAATAGAAAGGTCAGTTGGAATCAGCATGTAGAGAGCCTGCCTTTCTAAGTAGAAATAATAACACTCCCCTCATCCATTGCTCTTGCCAGTCTCCTGGACATCACTGGGCAGAAGTAACTCTCACAGCTACCTTTTTTTTTTTTTTTTTTTTTTGGCGGTACGCGGGCCTGTCACTGTTGTGGCCTCTCCTGTTGCAGAGCACAGGCTCCCAACGCGCAGGCTCAGCAACCATGGCTCACGGGCCCAGCCGCTCTGCGGCATGTGGGCATGTGGGATCTTCCTGGACTGGGGCACAAACCTGCGTCCCCTGCATCGGCAGGTGGACTCTCAACCACTGCACCACCAGGGAAGCCCACAGCTACCATTTTTTAAGTGTTTACTTTGTGCCAAGCACTGTGCTGAATGACTTATGTGCTTTTTCACATTTATTCATCACAACCCCAGGTTACAAGAGATAATTTCATCCTCATTTTAGAGATAATGACACTGGGGCTCAAATAGATTAAATAACTTGCCCATGGCCACACACATGGTAAATGACAGAGACACAATTGGAATCTGGATCTCTCTGACCCCAAAGCCATTAGCTGTCAGCCATTATGCTCCTTGGAAGCTGTCATTGCCTCCAGTCGCTGATAGAACGAGTTAGTCTTTCACTCAGTGTGAAATTCACTACAAGTGACTATAATTCTTACTTACTTACTTAAAATTAATTAGCATAGAGTAAAAGTCAGTAGTCCAGCTTAGTTGTCCTGGTTTTTCCACTGATTTATATAGCATGTTTGACCTCAATTTTACTTACCTGTAAAATAGGAATAATGGTACATACCATCCACCCATATTACTGAACAGTTTTGCAAATAATTATTTCAATGTTGATGAGCTGCTTCAAGGTGCTTAGAATTTTTCCTTGCTATTTCTCCCTTTATTGTAATATGAAGATAATAATAATATGTACCACATGAGGTTTTTAGATAATTAACATAAAGTATTGTAAAGCCCTTAAGGTAGTGCCTGCTTTATAGTAATTGCTCAGTAAATGACAACTATTATTAATAGTAGTGTCAATGCAGGAATTCACAAAGATGATACAGGATTTTATCTCTTCAGTTACTGCCAATATAGTGCAATGTGGACCAGTATTATTTATATAATTTAAACGATAACATCATTTCAGAAATAGTTCCATTTAAGTCTTCTTATAGGTAGGAAGCATAATACCTCGAATACTACCTTAAATGGATTTTTAATGCATACTTAAATAAGTTTCACTCATGGAGGAATATTAAAATGTGTGTATGTGTGTGTAAACAGATAAGTGTGCATGTTCTTGGTGCCAGAGTTAAGTAATTTCTCTTCACCATTCTCTCTCCTTACATTTATTTCTTGAAGTTTCTCCTCTAATCGATCAGCTGAATAAATTCAGTATTCTAACATTTCACCCCTTGTAATGTGGAATTTGATGTGCTTTATGTTAAACAAGTGCCCTCGGTTGAAGTTATTAAAGTTTAAGACTACTTAAACGTTTTGTTCTAAAGTGTCTCAAAAGAACATTGATTTAAATTTGTCATCCCTCAATATGTCTATTTAGTTTAAAATATTTCTCAAATGTAATTTCTGGCAGGCAAAATCTAGAAAATTATTTTCGAAAATAATTTAAATCAGCACCCTCAGTGCATAGTTGCAATTAGGAGAGAGCTTTATCATACCAGAATTAATATGGTTTTAAAATTATAGTCACACTTGAGAGGTGAAAGTGGTTATCAGTTTGGAAAAAAAAAGAATACTTCAAGTATGTTGTTTTGAAATGGAACTCATTTTAACTACTTTAATTTGGTTAATTTTGTTCCCTAGTTAGCAGATTAGTCTTTGACAGATGTTTCTTGGCTTTTATTTCCTGAAGATGAATTGGCCAAAACTAAACTACATAAATCTTATCCAAGGAATATATATTAACAATAGCAGACGTGGAGTGTTTTTACTTAAATGTTATCCTCTCCAAGAATTATCTAACTGGTGTCATTCTGTAGACAATTACCATGAAAATAAAAGGGAGATTCTATTGTCAAACTTGACTTTTGATTACCTATGTACAGACGGATCAGCTTTCCCGTAACAGTGAGCAAAAGCCTGATCGAAGCCAGACTATCCGAGACCGATTGAGAGGAAAAGGATTACCAACAGGTAAGAGTATATTAATAGGAAACTCTTAGGCTTTAACCTTAGTTATTATTTCCTTTACAAAATCATACTTAACCTAGCTTGGAAATCTGGTAATTGTGACCATAATCATAAGTGTGCAAAGTGGAGGCACCGTACAGATAAGGAATGCTATGTGTATTAATATATAAATCCATGATAGTTATGCAGAAAATGTTAATACAATCAGGACACCATGGTAAATAATTTCTTTCCCAGTATTGTTATTGTAGCAATAATATCATTTTTTACTTTATCATGGTATTTTGTATTAAAAATACATTTTAAAGTACGACAAAACACATATTTATGAACATAAATGCTACTAAAACAAAGGTTTCAGAAAGCAACCTTATTCTTGTTGCATACTGTTATTTTCTATTCTGTTTCTTTTTTTAATGCTAATCGCACCCCACTAAATTGATTTTATGACCAACGAATTTCATGACTTAGAGTTACCAAATACTAACTTAGGTTATATGATGCTGACTAAGTAAAGACTGATGAAGAGTGGTCTTGCTATTTGCCAGTAGCATTAGATAATTATAGGTTCTACATAGTTATTAAATTGATTTTTTAAGGAAATGAATAGAAATTCAAAACACAAGAAATGGAAGTAGAAAAACTAAATTTTTATCTGAAAGTTTATTTTTCAGTGGTAAGTTTCAAGCTTGGCTTATTTATAAAATGAACTTTTGTTTTTGTTGATTATCTTTGTTCTCTTTTCATCAAGCAATATTGATAATTATAATTTAAACATTAACAAAAATACTTTGTGGGTGAAATATTTTATTGTCTTAAGTCTTGAAGCTGGGGTTAAAGTAAATGTAAATATTGCTTAAATATATTCTAATAAAACATTCTAATTGATATAGTCAGATTAAAATGTTAAGATGTTTAACTGCTTAATTAGATAATCAGAGCACAGCTATCTTATTTAAAACCTATGAGAAACTCTCATTGTGAAAACTAAATATAGACATTTGATTATCCGGACTAAAAGTTTTGCAGAATTCAGAACTCTCATGTCTGAGAGGGAAGGATGTGCCCTAAGCAAGTGTACTGCTTATCTTAAGAAGTCAAAGAAAAGCAATGAAATCATTTCTAATGGAGTGATTCTGTAATAATGCAGTTAGTTCTGTGTCTGTTTTGGTACTTTCATTTTACTTATTGAGAATAAGGATTGTTTTTCTGAAAAGGTACTTAGCTTTCATATCATCAGTATAGTCAATTTACTTCGGGTTACATAAAGTTCTGTTTCTAATACATATATTATTAGTTTATGCATGGGTCAGAAAAGAAGGCAGACTTTGCTTAACTTAGTTTTTACAATGCTTTGATGGCAATTAAAAAAGTATTTTTAACCCTTCCTTATGTTTTCTTACTATACTTACGTCCTTATATATATAGGTACCTTCCTCTCATAGGTAAAAATCTGTTTTCTTTTATCTTAAAACAATACTAGGATTTGAGGTAAGATATCATGTGAACCTTGGTGCTAAGAATAGCAGCACTTTGTTAATCTATCAAATTTTGAATCAATTCCCTGTTTTAGAATAGAATGAGTCTTTTTCAAGGAGACACAATGAATTTTTTTTTTTTTTGGCTGCGTTGGGTCTTCGTTGCTGTGTGCAGGCTTTCTCTAGTTGCAGAGAGTGGGGGCTACTTTTTGTTGTGGTGCTCGGGCTTCTCATTGCCGTGGCTTCTCTTGTTGTGGAGCACAGGCTCTAGGCACGTGGGCTTCAGTAGTTGCAGCACGTGAGCCCTAGAGCATGAGGGCTTCAGTAGTTGCGGCGCATGGGCTCAGTAGTTGCAGCACTCAGGCTCTAGAGCACAGCCTCAGTAGTTGTGGCACATGGGCTTAGTTGCTCCACAGCATGTAGGATCTTCCTGGACCAGGGATCGAACCCATGTCCCCTGCATTGGCAGGCAGATTCTTAACCACTGCGCCACCAGGGAGGTCCACAGTGAATACTTTAATAAGTAAACGTTAGATTTAAAAGAAATGATTTGTTTCTCTTATTTATCATCTTTCTATTTCTTCCTTCCTTCTTATTCTCCTCTTATCTCCCTTTCTCCCCTCCTCCTTGCTTCCTTATTTCTCTTTCCTGTTCTTTCTCTCTTTTCGTAGCTCCCTTCTGTCATCTCCTGCTGTCATTAAGTGACCAGGATATGAAATTGAAGTTTGTATGCTTGGTTGTTACTTGTTGATTTAGTAAATATGTTATATTATTATTAATTTTTAAAGATAGTTTGTTTTTTCTAAGAATAAAAAATGTTCCCAAATATATGAGACTCCCCCATTCTATCCCTCTTCATCATGAATCTACAGAATCTGCAGAAAAAGATCACCCCGCCATATTTAGTTTATCAAATTTTAAAGACTCACAAGTGTTAACATAGTTTAGATTATATTACTTTCAATGATTCAGAGTCTTGTTGTTTCAGACATCAATTGTTATGTAACATTTTAGAGGTAGCAATAGAGATTGAAATGAATCTATGCCAACTCTATAACATACTTTTTTTTTTTTTTTTACTGGTAAGTTATTTTGTTTTATTTTTTAATTTTCATTTTGTATTGGAGTATAGTTGATTAACAATGTTGTGTTAGTTTCAGGTGTACAGCAAAGTGATTCAGTTATATCAATACATACACATGTATCTATTCTTTTTCAAATTCTTTTCCCATTTAGGTTATTACAGAGTATTGAGCAGAGTTCCCTGTGATATACAGTAATTGCTTGTTGGTTATACATTTTATCTATAGCATATTTTAAATAGCAGGTTATTTACTTGTCATTTACATATATACATATATTTGTGAAAACCATATACAAAATTAAGCTTTCTGGACACATAGATGCTAGAGATGGGGAAAATCCACTATTAAGCATGTTAGTTTTTGTACGTGTTAAATGAATGTTTGTTGATTGAATGAGTATGAGAAAAAGTTTTATAAAAATATTAGATATAGTAATACATTTGTAATAAAATGTTAATGGTTCTGAAAAGAAATATATGAGACTATGATTTAATTTTTTAGATAGCCTATTTTAAGCCTTAAGTTGTGTGCAGAGTAAAAAATAAACTGGTAGTTTAGTTCACCATCTTGGCTCATGTTATTAGACTATTTTATTATAACAACAAATGTATCAGAAGTTTTAAACCAAAGTATTAATGCCTTTTATTTATGGCTTTGTTTTTGTAATATTAAGACTTAGTATTACTGTCTAATAGTGCTCTAGAATTCTTATGACTAATAGACTGTCCAAATGCAGATAATCTAGAAGTGACTGTAGTAACTTAAGAAAATTAACAGAGAAATCTGTAAATAGACTGTCCATAGATTTTAATTCTCTAATAATCCTATCTTCTTATTGGAGAGTACAATCTCTCCAATATCTAAACTCAAGAGAATTTGTAAGGAGTTACAATTTGTCACTCAGGATAAACCTAAATTAGTTCCTGTAGTTGGGGTAGAACTAGAGGTTCTTATACTTAAAGAAACAATAGCCTTTTGGATCCTCAGCCTGTCTTAGCCGTTGCTTACTGCTAAGCAGTAAGGAAAATATTACTGCTCAAAGTCTCTTTTAATTTATCTTTAATAAATTTGTAAAACCACATCTCAAGGACAGAATCCACACAGTATACTAATTACAGACATTACCAGACAGAAGCAATTAGGAACTAATAGTCTGTGGCACACACTTATTAATATAACTCTTAAGATTAAAAAAATTAACTCATGAAGAAGAAATATTCTTCTAGGACACTGGTGTTACCTTTGGGCAGTGCCAGTTCTTAACTGTCAGTGGTCACTTGCAGCAACGCAACGTTGTCGTATTACATTAGTAGTAAGGCATTCTCTTTGATGCAGACCAACCTAAAGCCTTTATGTAGTGATAACTTAGTTTATTACATTCCTGACCACTATTCTCAATAAATAAAATGTCAAGATGGGCAGTGAGATACAGAATTAGATTAAAAGAAGTAAGCAATTTTAGACAAAATGCCTCGTATCTAAGTGATCTGATTGTTCAACTAAAACTTAACAATAAAATTTTTCATTTATGAGTAAATGACCATAAAAGGTCTCTCCTTACATCTTACCTCCGAGATCTGTTACAGAAGCTAAGGCCTAAACTAGTGGGCTGTGTGCCTCCACTCTGTTATATAATACTGTCAATGCTGATAAAAGGCTTCACTAAGCAGAAAGAAATCAAACATTTCCTGCCAAGAAAGCTTAAGGTGGAAACCTACACCTTGATCAGATCAGCATGATAGTGCTTCAGAACTTGGGTGTATTGATAATATCATGTTTCTTTTTTTATGTACCTGAACACATTTGTGAAGACAGATGGGGAATCGGGGAGCCTCTTTTAATAGTGAAATGTCATTTTGAAGTTAGCTTCTAAGAGATGCTGTGAATTTTTTGAGACTCAGTGTGAGGAGAAAGATGAATGATGATATCCCATTAAGGATAATGTTCATCATAAATAACAAAAATAGTTAAAACACAATGTACTTTACAAGGAAGATTTTTTCAATTTAATTTAATAAATGGAATATGTTATATTATGAATACTCTTCATGATCTTAAAATTTTTTATTCATAGCTCTTCAACATTTATTTATTGTTTGCCATTTACTTTTTAGCAAACTACGCACCCTCTGAAAGAAAATGTTTGTGGTTTCATTTTAAATTTGAATACTTATAATTGTATGTAATCTAATGTTGTCTGTAAACTGTTTCCGAACTCAGAGCATCTTTAAAGTTGGAAAAATCTACCTATAGTCACTAATTGTTCTGTTCTGAATAACTTAATTTTTTAAATTATAGAATCTAAAACTTTACCAGGAGATCTTTTGATTTCTGGTTTTATGACTTTCTCTCAAAATAACTTAAATTCTCCCTCAGATAATTATATGCTGAGAAAAATAAAATAGAAACAAAATTTAGAACTTTATGTTGCTACTTGTTC